TATTAATAATCTTCTTTATAAACAAAAATATTGATTATATTAAATTTGAGGAATAAGTACTAAACTTAGCATTTTATTTTCTAAATAATAATGAACTTAATAATATTAAATATATAAATTACTTTATAATATCTATTAATAATTCGATATTAATAATTTTTATTGAATTAAAATAAAAGGAGATTAATAATTTAATAAAAAATAGTTTTTTCAATTTGTAAAGATTATAGATATATCTAAAAATATGAGAATATTCAATTTATGGGTTGTTAATAAAATGAAGAATAAAGAAATTGATAAAATATTCCTAAAATTTCTATTAATAATACAAATATAAAAAGATTAAAAAAAAGGTACTATTTTGATATAATTATTTATAATATAATAAATTAGTTAATAAATAATATTATTAATAATGGTTATATTTTTAAAGAATAAAATAATTATAAATATTTATAATATTATATAAGTATATATATAATCAATATTAAATTTAATTCAAAGGTTTTATGTACGACCATTAATGAAGATAAATATCTTAGAAGGTTTTATTCTATAAGTAGTATAATTATTATATAATATCCCAAAAGTAGGTAATTATTAATTTAATATTTATTATAAGCATTATATTAATACCTTTAAAATAATATAATTGACTTACAATTTGTATTTCTTATATATAATTAAAAACAATATAATATTTGATATTATAGGATTATAAATAGACAATATATTTATTATCACTAATAATAAATTTATAAATTATAAATAAAAAAAACTTTATAATATTAAATTTATAATAAAAGAGTGTGAGATATTTATATTAAATATATTATTTAAGTTTAATGGTGGATTAATTACTTAACAAAATAATGGTACAATTTATTTTAATTAAGAGAATTAATACGAAAACTTATATTTAGTTAAATCAAACCTATTTGATATATAAGGAATATATAAAAAATTAAGAAAATTTGTGATAGTAAAAAATCAATATGTTGTATAATATATTTGAGGAGTATATATTGTAATAATGTATTAATCAGAGGTAACTTTTGATTTATTTTATACTATATAAACTATCAATTTTAAGGGAGAAGATATCAATTTTTTTAATAAGTGTATTTAATGGTAGATTGATAATTTAAAGAGAGGCCTATAATTTGTTCTATTTAATATAAATTCTTTAAAATTGATTGTATTTATTAATATATCTTTTATTAATAACAAAGATTTATCCTTTCAAATTGGATATATTGTTATTTTAATAAACAAATATGATAAAGCTAATATTATTTATAAATCATTTATTAAGTGTAAGAGAGTTATTAGAAGTATATTAATATTAGAACTGTATATTATAATTTTAGATTTTGATATTAATACAACAATTAAAGGTATAATCGATAAGATCTTTCTGAATTGTAAAATCTTATTGGTTATATATATTAATTCCAAATCACTTTATAATTGTTTTATGAAACTCGAAATCATTAATGAAAAGAGATTAATAATTGATGTAATAACGATTTGAAAGGTGTATAAGGAATGAGAGATTGTGTAGATCAAATAAATTAATAAAGATTCTAATCCTATAAATGTGATAACTAAATTCAAGTTGTGTTAAACCTTAAAAGATTTGATTGATAATAATATTATAAAGATTAAGGTTATAAAATGGGTTGAAAGAGATTAGAAGGATGGGTGGTTATATAGGCAAAAAAGGTATTAATTAGAAAGATATGATTCAGCGATTTTAAAAAGTTGTTAATGTTGGGATAGGGATTATATGATTATATTAGTATTGATGTTAGTGTTTTTCAATACTATAGTAATACGTTTTGTAGCTTTAGCTTTTAGAACCTTAAGTAATATAACAATAGTGTGAATCATAGTATTATATTGACTTCACCATCCCTATTTCACCATCCCTATGGTGATACCAACAATAGCTATATCTCTTATCAAATTGATTTATAATGAAATAGAATGAAATAAAATCATATAAAAGATTATTAATAAATTAACTAAATTGATTGATTGTATTTTTCTTTTATGATATAAAATGATTCTGTAAGATTCGATTTAAATCGATCTTATTTATAAGCATAGAAACTATTAGAATTTCATTATAAACTATATAAACCTAGGATATTCTTTAAAGAAAACCTAGGAAAAAGCAAGCAAATTCAGCTTAATTAAGCTCTTTCTTATAATTTGTCTTCAATTCAACTCTTATATTATATTCGATTTGTTCTTTAAGCTAAAGTAACTAAATCTTCCATTATTATTAGAATATTATTATTAATATTATATTCTAGAAAATTACCTTTAATAAGTTATAAGCCTGATTAATCTAAAAACTAGTTTAAAAAGGGAATTAATTTGATTTAAGAATATATACTATATATATACAATTATTGAGCTATCGAATTTCGAAATTTCGAAATAATTTAATCGAATTTATATTGAAAACCACTTATAAATAGACTCTGTAATCTATATCCCTAAAGATAAATCTAATTGAATAAATAAAATTAAATTCCTAAAAGATATATTTATACTATAAGCTATTTATAACAAGTAATATATCAATATTCTTTATACTAAGGTACTTTAATTTAATTAGTCTTTATTAATACAGAATAAGATAAAAATTTAATTTAAAAGGTGATTGGTTTAATCAATCTCAACCCAGAAATTCGATTTTAAATCAAATTCATTACTAAATCCATTCAAATTCTAATACTAATTTTATTAAAACTAATATAAATTCAAAACACTTTTTTAAAACCAAATAATTTAATATAAAGATTTAAAATGATATCTAATATAATCTTTAAATCTAATCTCTTAAAAGGTAAATCCAATTATATTGAATAAATAAATCGAACTAAATTATATCTCAAAATTAATAGTTTATATTATATATTAATAATATAGAAATATTATTAAACAAAGCTTTGTATATAAATAAAAATATAGGGAAAACTTATTTATTTGAATTAATTATCAAATTGAATAAAAGAGTTTTAGAATATTAATAAAATAAAAGAAAAGCGCTAGAAGCAATTAAGTTTATAATTAGCTTTAAATTAGTCGAAAGATTTAAGAACAAAAATACGACTAAAAGCCTATGGGAATCTATTAATATGATTTTTAGAAAGTTTTCCATTAAATTAATAAAAAGATATCTAAATAAATTAATAAAATCTAATTACACTAACTTTAAGGAAATAGATGAATACATTAATTCGATTTAATTATTATATAATTATTTAAAATCTATGAAATATAATATCCCTAAAGCTTTTATAGCATAGTTTCTTTTTAAAGGCTTATCTAGCTCTTTTAATAATTTCGCCTCTAAAAAATATAAAGAATTAGTTAAAAATCAAGACGATATTAATTTAAATAAATTATTTTCTGAATTAATATTAAAAGAAACTAAAATACAATCTAATATTGATCTAAATACTAATAAAGCTAGCTTTAAAAAAGCTATTATTAGAGCTTAATCTATATAAACAAAGTAAATTCTCTTTATATACAAATAATCAAGTTGTACTAGCCCTTACTAAAAACTTTATATTTCACAAAAGAAGTAAGTATATGATAATCAGATTCTATTTTATTAAAGATATTATTAAATTAAAGGATTTAGATCTAATTTATATATCTATTAATAATTAAAAGACTGATGGGCTTACGAAAGCACTAGCCCGTACTAAACTGATTGAATTTACGAATCAGATTAATCTAAATTAAGATATATAATAAGATTGATTTAATATACTTATTGAGGGAGTATATGAGATTCTATAATAAGTATACTAAATCACTTATTAATATCTTACTAATCAAATTATATATATATTAATAATATAAGTATAATATAATTTTATATTATAAAATTATATTATTATATTATAATATAGCTATATCTCTTATCAAATTGATTTATAATGAAATAGAATAAGATGAAATTATATGGAAGATTGATAATAAATTAACTAAATTGATTGGTTGTATTTTTCTTTTATAATATAAAATGATTCTGTAAGATTCGATTTAAATCGATCTTATTTATAAGCATAGAAACTACTAGAATTTCATTATAAACTATATAAACCTAGGATATTCTTTAAAGAAAACCTAGGAAAAAGCAAGCAAATTCAGCTTAATTAAGCTCTTTCTTATAATTTGTCTTCAATTCAACTCTTATATTATATTCGATTTGTTCTTCAAGCTAAAGTGACTAAGTCTTCCACTATTACTAGAATATTATTATTATATTTTGTTCTGGAAAATTACCTCCAACAATTATAAAGAGTATTTTTCTTTACTCAAGCTAAATCTTTAAAATTATTAATTTTTTCAAAACTTTTCTTGAACTTCTATATAAATTCAAATTTAAGACTTTCAAAAAGTAATCAGTCTTGTTTTAATAATTATAGTTGAAAAGTTATTAGAGATTTAAATAAAATCTTCAATTTGTATGTAATTTATATATAAATTTGAAAATCGATATTTTGAAGTATTAGATTTCTATTTAGAAAAGCCTCAAAAATCTGAGATTTTCAATATAAGTTTAGAATAATTTGAATTATATGCATTCGAATATTCAATAAATTATATTATATTTTGATAAAAATATTAATAAAAATATTAATAAATTAAAGAAACGATTTTTATTGTAAAAGGGTGGCCCAAAACAGGGGTGGCTAGAAAATGCGGGGTCCAACTTAGAAGTTAGATATATCATCAAGATTTACCACTGGGATCTCAAAATATTCACATTATCATCTCATATCTACACCACAATTTCTCAGGACGAAGTTCGACTGCTGAAGGATCTTTCAAGTGCTAGTGGGGCTGATAATACAGCCGTTGAATGCGATACTTGCGTCGTGTCTCTTTCGACTCGTCCGCAGTACGAAGCACTGTCGTACTATTAGGGAGACCAAGCTACAGAAAAAGACACCATATTGATTGCAGGAATGGAGTTCGAAGTTACCAAAAATTTGCATAACGCTCTCTGTAAACTCAGACTGCAAAATTGAGGCAGGACACTATGAATCGTCTAGATATGTATCAACTAGGACGATCCGGACGAAAAATCTTCTTGGCAAGTCCAGATGATGCTTGAAATATACCGACTGTCATTTAGATGTTTAGTCTGGATGGGAGAGATTCGAGATGATTTTGATTTGACTGACGCAGAAGCGGGAGTAGAATTTTGTGAATACATTGCCATTCTATCGGAATTCGAAGACGCCAACGCAGCTCCCGTCTCAACTTTTTTGGGTTCTTTGAATGATTTTAACCGCGTTATGATGGAGTTAAAGTCTATTTCTCATTCTGAAAATCAGTGGTAGACTCGAACCTGGACTGTGAACGAGGCTGTTCTTCCATCGAATCTGTGTTTAGTCTGGGGCTTGTTGCATATGGAGTGGAATGTATTGAGCCAGGCATTAGAAAATTGGGTAGAGAGGGCTAAACCTGCATCTATTCATTCTGTCTCGAGTGAAACCAACTTCGAGTTCCTTGGATGACTTGATGTGGCAAGTGGTATGGATAACTAGCACCAAACAGCGAGACCGCTATCCTCTCGATTTGATGATAAGTGGGCGAATGGGAGGGGCAACAGATCCGCGAGATAAAGTTGTCGCGCTTCTGGGCTTGATAGAAAAAGGACAGTTGTCAAATATAGTAGAATGTGATTACAAAGGTAAACCTTTCTCGGTATTTGCTTTTACGTCGAGGAACGTTTGGAGACTGTTCCTCGATTGATGAAAAGGATAACTAACGTCAATCTAGTAAGTCATTATTTAGTTTGCCGTGATTGATTTCTATATTCAGACGGACATACATTACACCCGTCATATTGAACTAGCACCAGTGCTGTATGAGTCTGTCCTATTGAGGTAATTGTTAAGTTCACCTGTTGCAGGTCGATGCTGCAGCGCATCATGCGTCCAATACCGTCGATCTGACATCATGGGAGTCAGATTTGCGACCACTAGCCATGGAACTCCGAATATCAGATGATCCAATACCTGGGTTACCCCATTGGTCCCTAGACCTGAAAGCCTGTCCAAGTAATGGCGAAGGGGATTACCCCTTGCAAGGATATCCTCATTATATAATGCAGCGAGCGCGACCGCCCGATAGACCGGGAGCTCTTGCTGAGTACTGCTTCAAAGACAAAAATGGTGCTATCGTTGAAAGGTATTCTAGTCGATAGCATTGAGTTTGTTGAAGGGCCACAATACGCACTAGTTAAGGAAATCTCTAATGAGAATCTCGTTCAAACGTTATCTTTATGGGCCGTTCTTGCGAACTGTTGCGCTGGAATCAATTAGCAGCAGACTTTTGGTCGGATGCTTATTGGGGATTTTGTCTGGAATGGCCGAGATTGGTTACTATCTCGAGCCTCCTCTGATAATGCCCACAATGCTTTTGTATTTGCTACAAGTGAACAGCTACCTCCCAATGCTGCTCGACCGACAATATCGCGTATGGTGAAAGACGCGGCATTTTTATTACAGAAAAAGGCGCATTAGGACTTGGAAATCGAGAGACGAAGCCTGGAGACGAGGTTTGGATATTCTATGGAGGGAAAATGCCATTTACCTTTAAGAAACGGCCTGATAACCCAGGTGAATACGATTTCATCGGCAGATGTTTTTTCGATGTAATCATGTTCGGCGAGTTTTTTGAAGACGTAAATAGAACGTTTTACGAGCAGATTGTCAGGTTGCATTAAGGTGATCCATCTTACAAGATCTTTTTGCGAAATATTATTGTATTTTGATAGAGATATTGATAGGTCTAAGAATCGGTGTCTGATGTAAAAGGGTGGCACAAAACAGGGCTTGCCAGAAAATAGGGTAGTTGACTCGCACCAACATTCGAGCTTTCAAAGTTGGTTGAACGTAAAATACTGAGAAGGGTTTTATAAATCAATTTTTAGCTTGTCAAATTGCATCGCAGCTTCATGTCTAGTATCGACTGAGATATAAAAACCATCAAGCTTACCAAGAACGGAGTCAGTAGTTGCGTGAGGAGATCTATCGTAGATAATGTCGTCGATGTCATTCCAAATCTCCTGACATGCACGTAGGTACCCTAATCAACGAAGCCATCCGGAGCGGATTTTTTCGCTTAGTATCGAATACGGTGGGATCAGTCGTCTTCTCCTCCTTCAGAGGTTCCGGGTCTCTTGAAGTCAGTCGTCAGGTCAGCTAACCAACGGGTTGACTGAGGGTTGGAAGTTGTTAGGATTGGTCAGTTGAGCTTGTAATGTTACGCTGATTTACATCAGTCTTATCTTTTCCTTTGATTTCACATCATTGAAGCATAACTTATCTGCATGTTTTGTATAAATTACATTTCTACTCGTTTAAACGTAATGCTTTCAGTTCCCAAGCTTTTTCGAGAAGTAGATTTGCTCTCTTTACCGATACCACTACTACCACCATCATCCGGGTTGCTAAATTCCACTATTATATAAACAATACATACACTTTTCTGATCATAATACTTGTCTTTATTGATTCCAATATTCAAAGCTACAGCATAAGCAGTATCACTCAATTTTAAAAGGCTTTAAAAATACTGATTTGTTTCGATGTTATAATGTACTTTATTAATCTATTAAATCAATTTAGTTATATTAAAATGAATTATAAATTTCTTTTCTTTTATAATTCAAATTTGATATTAGGATCGAAATCAAACAAATTGTAGAAGAAGAGTATAGAATATTAGAATAAAGTAGTATTATAACACTTTGTCGTAGAAGAACTATGAGAACAGAGTATAATTTATTCTTAAAATCTACAACTATAGAATTAAGAGTAAAGTACTCATGAAATACACTTATATATTAGTTATATATATGTAATTATATATATATACATATATGTATATGAGTAATTACAATTATAATTAAGATCGATTTATAATATTATTCCTTCTTTTAAAAAAGCTTATTTTTAAGCTTTACAATTACCTATTTAATTTATATACTACAATTTTAATAAAATATTGTTATGTATATAGTCGAATAACATAATAAACTAATTTAAACATAAAATTCTCTTTTTTGTAATAAAAATGTATATAAAAAACGAAATATATTGTTTTATAGTTTTAATAACGATTTAAACCTTTAAAGTATATAGACCTTTTCAATCTCCTTATTTCTTTTCAATTCCCTTTCAATTATTTTGTTTCCTCTTATTCTTTACTATTAATATACCTTCAACATTATCAAAAACTTATAGTAATAAAAGTTAATTATCATTCAAAGAAAATGTTTTCAATCACTCTTAAAAAAATGTAAATCATTAGATAAATAAGATAATGAAATAAGAAAAAGAATTCAAATAATAATGTTAATTAGCTTTAATTTAGATGAAAACTAATCTTTTAACAATTTAAGTATAATTAACAAAGACTAAATACAAATTCAACTCTATTACTATTCAAACTATAATTAATTATTACTTTATCCTTCAATTCATTATTATTCTCTCCTTTTTTATTATTACTTTTAATTAAAAAATCAACTGATATTTTGATTTAAACCATTCAATCTTTACTATTATATCTTATCTAACTATAACCGTTTTTACTTGTAAAGAATATCTTTTTAATTTTCTTTAAGTTTACCTATTTGTTTTTAACTTAACAATATAATTTTATCTAATTGTTTTTAATTACTTATAAAAAAATATTATTATTAATTTAATAAATAAAAGAAGTTCCTTTAATCTTTTTTATTTATATATTAATCATTATCTATTAAATTATAATTATCCTTTTTACTTTTGTAAAAGCTAATTTATTTAAGTAAATATATAAAAGATTCTAATAGAAAATGATTTTGTAAATAAAAATCGTAAAGAAAGTACAAAGTTGTTTTAAGACTAGAAAGAAAAATACTAAATAAAATTATTATTATTATTTAATTATAATACTTTATATTTAAATTATCAATATACTTTTTCAGTAATAAGAATATATTCTACTTTCTATTTAATATTATTAATAATATTAATTAAAGATAATAATCTAAGGATTTATTCGGGAAATAAATTGCTTTTTATTTTGTAGAGTTTAATAAGCGAAAATATAAAATAAACTTTTATAATTAATAATACATCTAATTTAAAAGAATCTCTAATATAATTAATAATCTTAAATCTTCTTTAAATAGGATAATCTAATTTCTTAAAAGATTACTATATCAATAGTGTTACGACGGATAACAAGAACTACAGGATTAGCATCACGTGACCATAAAAGCCGACAATCGAAATCGACTTTCGACTTTCGACTTTCGAAACTCGACCATCGGCTTTCGACAATCGACTCAAGAGTTAACAGAGCAGGAAGGTCTATATAAGGGAACAGGATTTCATTACAATGTAGAGCTTCGTGCTCAAGAACAATCATTAGTTTCATTACTATAGTTACGAGAATTGCAACCAGTTACAACCTTATTGAATTCCTACTTGAAGTCTAGTCTAAACCACCTCGAGAGATCTCTAGACACTTCCACGTGACCCTAGAGGCAGCTCCCGTAACAAATAGGTCCCTTATACTAAACCATATTTAATCTTTAATATTAAAGTCAATTGATTAGTAATATGATTTAGTTAATCAAGATATCTTTTATTATATATATACAATATTCTCTTTTACTTAATTAAGAATTAATTTATTATATTTAATATACTCTTTAATATTAATCATGTTTAAATCATTGATTAATAATATTAAATTAGATTTCTAGTTTTAAAGGTTGTAGAGTAAATAGTTATATAAAATCTTATTAAATAAATCGAATAAGTATTAATTTTATGAGACTATAGTATTATTTTATAAATAATAAATCGATTGTAATTATTTATTAAGGGAGATTAATAATATGATTTTGTCACATTAATATTTACTGTTATAATAATAATTTTAATGGAAAAGAGATATTTGATTTATTCTTCTCAACACTTTTATTCTTATTATTATATCAATATAGATTGATATCTAATAATTTAGATATAATATTTAAAAGTTGTAAAAGTCTATTTTAATTATTTTGAGAATAATTAATAATAACTTCAACTCTTTTATAATTCTCTTAAATATACTTAATAATCAAAACTAAAACCCTGTTTTTAAAAAAATATTTATAATTTTAGAATTCGATTATTTTTGAAATACAATATATTATATATTAATCAGTAGTTTATTAATCATTTATTTTTAACAAATAATATAATTTATAATAAATAATCCATATATATAGTTTATATATTAATTACATTTTAGTGGAAAGAAAATACTCTGGTTTAAAGTATTTAAAACTTATGATATTATTTAATTATAACTTTTTATTATAAAAATCTTATATTTCCCTTTTATTTATATAATTAATATTAAAAGAATAATTTTCTTATCTATCCATCATTGATTTATAATCGTCAGATATAATCTCTAATAGAATTAAAGATTTAGTAGTAAATCTAATGGATTTAATATTATTAAATTGTTTCAGAACTAAATACTTAACATTTTCGATATAATGTTCTCCAAATGCAGGAGAATCTATAAATAATCCTATTATATTTAATAAATAATAGGATATTAATTCTACTAAAATTTAATAAAGTTATATTGGAAGAGTATAATATTAAGCTCGAATTAAATACTACTAATTCTTCCTCTTCAATATATATTATAATAAAGAATAAAATATAAACTAAAATTAATATAAAAGTTGCTGTTATATTACTAATAATTTTTATTTATATAAATATAAATGTTAAACCATATTAGAATAATATAAGAGTTTACATTTCTTTAAAGAAATATTAGTTTTAATCTTAATTATACATTATAATTGAAATTAAAATATTAGATTCCTGATTTATAATATTATTGATTAATATTAGTATTATTACAGGAATAATAAAGTTAATATAGTACTATAATTTACACTATTATTATATTACTTGAGATTCTAAAAGCTAGAGTTATAAAACGTATTACTATAGTGTCGGAAGATGTTAGCGTTAACGCTAGCGTAGTCACATGATCCCTATCCCAACAGTATATAAGTTATATTACTATATAAGTTAGTTTATTTTATATATAAAATTCATTTATATATGATCGTATATTTATTTTAATTATGAATAGAATTTCATAAAGATTTGATATATAAATTTTAATTAT